GTGGAAGTTCACCGAGCACCCCGACGGTGTTCAAATCAATGTTTTGTTTTAAAATGCTGTATTTTGCTGCTGTTTGCACCTCATTTTTTATCCTGAAGACATTTCCTGGCTGGCTCACTAGCGGGTAAAACATTTTCCCTAGGAGGCTGTCCAGTTTAGCACGCAAGAAGGGGCTGTTTGCACATCCCATGCAACCACAAGTGATTTTAACGCTGTTTGGCAGGATCTCCCAGGGAAAACCCCAGAATTAAGTGAAATGGAGAGAAAATTGGGCTTTCAGGAGGTGGGCAGGGCAGAATTCAGATGTTTGGTAAAGTAGAATAAAAATCATCCCACATACCTGGTGGTACTGCACATAAAATGAGTCTTAGCCCCTTAAACAGCGAAGATGCTTACTCCATTTCCAACAATTTTGTAATTCACGTTTGATGCGTGCTTCATGTTTCATACACTTGCAAATGGATTTTTGAGCCTGATACTGGCTGCTCTCCATGCTGGAATCAATCACATCCTAAAATTACCCCTTTACATCGGAGAGTGTTAAAACTGGAAGGACTAACCAGTCACCCTATAAACAAGTCAGGACCCTGTCTGTCTGGAAGGAGGGATGGAATCTGGGAGCAGGAAAATATCTGCGGCGTTTGCAGAGCTACAGTAAGGGTCTAATCTCCTGCCTCCAGGGGCACAAGCAGGAGGAACTCTTAAAAAATTAACGATTGCGTAATTTCATTAAAAATAGGAGCCCTGCAAAACTGATCAGCTGTTTCAAAGGGCTCCTCATAGCAATAACTGACAACTGTATATGAATAATATATGACTATATATTAAGAGCATATATTATCCTAAACAGTATCTTTTTATATGGATTTGAGCTTTTTCCTGCAGGATTTGCAGCCCAGCCCTGTCTGAATGCCTGAGAACCAGATGGGGGGTGGGGGGAAAAGCAGAAAAACGAAATAATGGAAACCAGATTTAAATAAATGCAGTGACATAATCTGTATGGTTCTTGGCAAGAAAAGAGCAAGTTTGTGCTTTTCATATCCGCTTTTTCAATAAGCTGTAAGTTTCCCTTTTAAGAAATGGTTGTAACAAACAGTCCTGATTCCTCTCCTATTAAAGTCAGTAGCAGACATCCACTCAGCTTCCACCAAAGCGCCCAGCTGAAACACTGCCACCTCGCAGGAACTAAGACTCGCCGAATAATGTTTTTCTCCTAGCTCCAGCTGACATTTGGTATTAAGAAATGTGGCCTTCATTTAAAAAAGGTGCCGGTGTAAGTGCTGGCGTGCATGGGAAGCTCTAGACCTCCTCGTCACATAGAAAACTTTGGAAATTTATACTTTAAAAACTGAAAACACTAAGGAAAAAGTGCCTAAACTGTTCATCTTTGTTACTTCTAAGCTGAGGACAGAGGTAGAAGAGAGAACTGAGACAATTCATTGTTTTGAATTGCCCAGGACTGACAATATTGTTATTGGATTTTAGGATTCTTCCGCTCCTTTTACAGTCGAGCAATAAAAAAATGTGTATTTGGCACAATTCCCTTAGACACACTTGGAAAATAAAATCTGTGTTATTTTATGCCAGATGTACAGGACACAGAAAAGTAAACATGAGATAATGGGACAACTCTAATAGTTTGGTATTTAAAGGAAAGACAACCCAGAGCAATGTCTGTATAATATTTAATGGCAAATCATAGTCTCTAACATCATTATATTATTCTGTTACAGTTTTTTCACACACTGTAAAATACTCTACAGTAACTATATTTAAAAAATCCTAATTAAAAAGAGGAACACTCTGTGACAGCAGAAATAACTCAAGGGAACACGGAAAGGATGTTTAAATTGCCAAGTGCTATCTATCCATCTAAACTCATCACACGCCGCATTTAGCCCTTTGTTGGCAGCAAAATCAGCAATCCAGAGCTAGCATAGTGCACATTTCCTAATCATTCCAGTTTACACCCCAAATTATTGGCAACACAGAGCAAGCTCTGGTCCAACACCTCAGAGGGATTGCTCCCATCTTAAATCAGTCAGAATTTGCTTTATGCCCTAAACCATAAGGATTTACAGAGATTCCAACCAGGATAAAAGTAAGCAGCAGGAAGGAGACGGTTGGGTAGCACTTCCCAACTGCATCGCATCCACAGGAGCCCTCAAAACCCACCACAGAGCTGTGTATCAGCATCCCAGCTCTCGGGGCAGAGGTGGATTAAGCAAAAGCTGTGGCACAACTAAAAGCAAAGCCCAGACACCAGACATGTCCTCATGAGCTGCTCCCATGTGGTTACAGGATGGAAAGGGAAAGACAGGATCCCTCCGAACCATCCCAAACCCTGAAGGAGTTCAGAGACTTGCGTCTGTGCATTGGGCAATACAGAGAAGGGATGGGTTTCCCCATAGGGCAATCAATCCGCCTACAGCAAAATGAAATGGGGCAAAGGCCCAGAACGGCTGTATTTACTTTGGCAAAACTCCTTGCTGCGAACGGTGGGAGTTTTGCCTGAATATATGAGATTTAGGTCGCAGATAGAGCCGAGATGGGAGCCTGCATGTGAGAATTCTTCCTGCAGGCGTGCCGCAGAGATCAAGGTTACCTTCCTCTTCCTCTCGGGATGTGACCATGCACAGACTGTTGCACGTCTCTACCTTTCCTATCTGGTAAGGCATTTCTGATACCAACTCCTCTCCAGTGTTAGCAAAACAGCAGCAATGCCTGCGCTATGTCACCGCTGACATCTTGTGCAAAGGCCGAGTTTTGCAGGAGAGTGACTGGCACGAGGCAAACAAAGCGGTTTTGAGGTAGGAGCTCAGGACACAGGGAGTGAACTCCCATCTGGACAGAAGTCCGGGCAGCATTCCCGCTGGCCGGGAGAGGCCAAGATTTCATCTGAAGATTTCACTCTGGAAGCCCTACCTCTCCTTTTCCCACCGCCTGCAGCATTTTAGGAGTCACCACATGTGGAGGAGGAGGAAGAGAAGGGATTTGCAGACACATCCCAGCGGTCCCCCTCCCACACCAACTCACCAGCCCTGCCCTGGGGAGGGGGAGCTGCATTCGGACCCTTCAGCCCCTCAAATGAGAGCCCACAGCAGCGACCGTTTGCTGTGGATGGGCACCTCTTCCCGCGCCAGCAGGAACTGACAGCGCTGGCAAACAGGTTACAGTAAAGGAGCTCTTTAAGCCTTGGTATTTATGTAAATGTGGCTTTAACTTTAAACGCCTCTGCTTTGTGGCTGCCTTTTTATTCACGCTTACTATTTTCCCTTGGCTCCCCTTGAATATACTACTATGATTTCTAGCTTATCCTTTGGGGACTATATATATATTTCATATATTTAGCTAAATGGGCCATTTTCCATCCCTGTTGACCGTTGATGCGTCATCACTGACTCACTCACGCCAGTGAAGAATCTGACCCAATATATTTTCTCTCTAGGTATATATTACACAGCACTATGATTCCGTAAAGCAAGCTTCGGGAGGTAGGTAGCAAACTAATCCCAGAAAAAATAAACTTGTGGAATGGCACACTGTGCTGAGACAGGGGCTGCACTGTGCCACCCTTACAGGCGGTATTTCTGTATTTTTCTTCTGGAAAAGCTCCCTTAGGACACGTGAACTGGCATTTTGGGCTCTCGGCCTCAAGTTTCCACCTTTCCCGGAGAGGACACTTGCTTGAGAGTATTTTTTGTTAATTGTTACTTATTACCAGAGTCTAAAGAGTCATTTAATAACTGACTGATGCTGCACTTTTTATCAATGCTTTCACAGCTGTGCCTAAAACAGACCATTTGCCTCTGGGACATACTCATAGCACCTCTTTGTCACTTACAAAACTCACTAAGCTAAGGGGTATATTTACAGCTCAAGTGTGCCCAGGGTACTGTAAGAGTTGGGAATTTAACAGTATTAAAATCCCCTAAAATCATAGGGTCATCTAAAATGCGAGGGGTGGAATTTGGCTGTAAAGCTTTGATAAGCAGTTCCCAAAGAACGTGTTTACTAAAAGCACATCCTCAAAACTGTTCTGTGCTGCTCGCTTCACCATCTCAAGGCAGGAATGGTGCCGCTGCTTCTCGGCAGGAGGTTTCTCCCCTTTCCCAGCTGGGATTTTTGGCTGTGATGGGGAACAGCCCCATGGCCATGGGGCTCCAACACATGCGGGACCATGGCTTTTCCCAAATGAACCTGGCCACAGACCAGCATTCAAAATATCTACCGGCCTCAGCGCAAGGGAGGGCAAAGATCTTCATTTCACATTTGCAGTTCTAATGGGTGGTCAGCCCTGCAACAATGGGTACTGTGTCACCGCAGCATCGCCCCTGCACCGAGCCAGGCTCCTCCGCATCACGGCCACCCTGGAGCACCCGGCTCACCCACACCAAGGCACAACGGTGATGCGGGCACTGGGGAAGCGACCGCATCTGCTTTAGGGGTTCCCCCAGTCCATGCTGGGCTTGCTACTTCAAAGGCACTTCATAAGGAGCATGCAGAAGGTGTCGACGAGCCAGTGCTTAAAAAAGCAGCAGCAATACAGAGACCAAGATAAGGCACAAAGCAGAGCATCAGTGCAAGATGCCAGGGCAGTGTGAGCAGATATTAAGGAGAGGGACCAGGCAGCCCGGCAGCTGGCCAAGATACAGATGCAAATTTACATGGCACTTCTCCTGAGCAATGCATTTTACCAAGAAAGGCTGTGTTGCAGTCCCTGATGTCCAGAAAGGGAAACTGAGGGGCAGGGAGCAGCACAGAGACTCACCCAAGTTCGCTCAGCAGCCCAGCGGCAGAGCCAGCACTCGGATCCAGCTACCTCCTGGCTCCCAGCCCGCGGCTCTGCCCACCAGACGGCTTCATCCATCCCTGGGTCACAAACAGCACAGAGCGAGGAGGGAGGGCTGCCACAGAGAAATACAACACTACCAAAGAGAAGCCGTGACGGCGGCAATACACTGCAGGAGAGACTTTTCTGGGTCTTCCCGTGTTCCCGCTCTCCGGGCAGTTACCTACGCTTTAGCACCGAAACGCAATCTTTCTTCAGTGGCCCGATCTGCAGGTGGGCATCGACGCTTTCCAGGAAGAAGGCTGGTTTCAGCTTGCACAAGAAAAGAGAGGCGAATTGGTGATTGATCTTGTTCTGGAACGGGTCAAACTGACCCTTGGCAAAATGGGAGACCTTGAGCTGCTGCAGGCAGGTCATCTTGGAGTCCTTGACTCCATAGAAGGTCAGGGCCTTCTCCGAATACTCCAGGAAGACCCCAATTGTGTGGAAAAATGGCTGTTGGATGACGGACTCAAAGCCACCAAACCAGGCCACATAGTTCTGTCCGTTCCACTGCAGGCAGCAGGACTTCTCGTTCCGCCCCAGCCGGCCACGGTTGTAGGACTCCCGGGGGTCAAAGTCCTCAGCGATGACACCGATGCTGACCCAGCCATCGATGAGCTCCACCTCCCAGTAGTAGTTGCCCCGGTTCATGAGGTTCACGCCCAGCACCTGCTCGCAGTTGATGAACCGGGTCGGGCTCTCCGGGTAGGGGATGGGGCACAGCACCCGCTTGGCCCCTTTGGTGCCAAACAGCTGGATGAACTTGTCAGCCGTGTCACTGTCCAGGTCAATGATGAAGGCAACTGTGTGGGGCAAGAAAGGACATGAGGATGAGGAGGGAAACAGGAGGAAATCCCCCCAGCCCTCCCTGCTCTGATCCCCTGCTCCAGCCTTCGGTGATGAGCATGATCCTTTCTGACTTCCACCATCACTCTGTCCTCATGCTTTTAAATCCCACTCCCAATTTCAGCCGATGAAGATAAGGAGCTGAAAGAGATGACACTCCCATAAGCAGGATGAATACAGGTAACTGGGCAAAGGAGAGAGCAGAGGAGCTGCTCAATGAGCTCCAACCATGATATCAGACATTGGAGAATGTAGGTAGAGTGGTAGTAGGAACATCCCATATAAAAGCAGGTTTCAGGCAACCACAGACAAACACAGCAGGGAGGGACCCCAAGAAGACAGGAAAACAGCCAGGCACATCATGGCTACAAACCAACTGCTCCTTGCAGTCGGCTTTCGCTGCCCTATGGCTCCCGTGGGAGCAGACGCAGCCCCCAGCATGTGGGGCCACGTGAAAACTGCCGCTGGATCCCAAACAGAGGGCATGTCCAGCGGGCACAGCCCTGGACATGCATCGCTGCCGATTGCGTTGCAGGTCTGAACCCATGGCGTGTCCAGATCCTACAGCAGCAGCAGCAGCACACCTCGCTTGAGCCCCATGCTTTGCTGCCTAGCTTCCAGCAGGGTGCATCAGTGCCACCAAGGCAGATCTTGTCCCCTTTGGCCATCTCAGTAGGTGACCCCACATCCCCTGTAAGGCTGGGAGGGGACTTGTGGGGTGTTAGAGCCCAAGCCCAGCCCTGCACCCCCCAGCCTCAGCCCCTTTTTCCCCACTGTCTCTGCTCAGCCACTGAATTATCCATCTGCTTGCTGCTGCTGAAGCTGACCCTCATCAGACTGCTGCTCTGCAGCAAACAAGGCTGATGCACAAACTCTGATCTAACAGAGGATCCAATTTGTCAAGGGCTGGAAAGCAGCAAAATTACACGGTACAGCAGCAGGCTCCCTGGCAGCTGGCCTAACAGAACCACAGACAAGGGAAAAAAAATATCACCTAAACAGATTACGATTGTTGTCAGGAAAGCAAGGAGGCTTCCTTGTTAGCTGAGCAATATTTCCTCCGATGGCGGCAGTGCTCCTGCCAGCCATCGGCTCGGGACCAGTGCCAGCCAGGCATGCGGGAAGGAGCCAGCTGCCCGGGAGAGAGGAAAGGGAAGATGGACCTTAGCAACAACTGTCAAAGCAAAAGTCCCTCGCTTACATTTCAGGAAGTAATCACGGCTCTCCAGGCAGGCGGGATTGTTTGACTTGTCTGGAAACCGGGATTCAGCCAACGCTGCAGAGACAGGGACAGAAGGGTTTGTCATCAGCAAAGAAACCGATGCCACAAACAAGGGTGTTACTGGAGCATCACCCCCCCTGGCCGACAGCCTGATGGTACCCAGCTGCTGTGGCCCCCAAGCCCCCAGCCAGCATCCCCAGCTCCCCCTGCACATTCTTGCCGGCTCGGACATGGGAAAGGACAGATGCCACCTTTGCCATCCCAGGGAGATGGGCGGGGGGGGCAAGGAACCGGCTGCAATTCCCACGGGCATCCAAGAAAATGAGAGAGAGGAGAGAGCTCAGGCTAAATGAACGAGTGCGGGAGAAAGCTGCTGCGGTGGTTTTCTAACCCTGGCAGATTTGGAAGACCACAGCCTGCCTGATAAAGAGGATCATCTATCCTGGGAAGAAAGAGTTCCCTTTCACAGGAGGCCACTTTGGCCACTTGCCCTCTCCCGCAGGGCCCTGCCTAACTCCCAGGCTGTTTATTGCCTCCCCAGTCTCCGGTCTCCGTGGAAAAATTCATAAAACCTCAAAGACGAGGCATAAGCCCAGACGGGGATTGTGCAATGTGCAGTGCAACCGTGCCGGGCAGCTTCCAAGGCTGAAGGGAGTGGGGCCAGCACTCTCAGGAGCCATCAAGCCTGCAGGCATCTCCCACCTACGCGGGGAGGGTGGAGGGTGACGGGATGACCTGCGGGCAGAGGGGCTGGGTGAACACAAACCTTCTTCCATCTCCTGGAAACTCAGCCTGTCAATTCCTTTCCCCTGCAAGTGGTCCCACTGGTTTTTGCAGGCAGCGGACAGCACATCCTTCACAGCGCCCACGGCTTGGGTACATTTGGTGAAGTTCAGCTCGTTCTGGAAGCTCAGGGCCGGGGAGAGGTTTTCTTCCATGGCTACTTTTAAGGCCTGAAATTCCTGAGCCAAAAAGACAGAGTTTCAGGAGGTTTCAAACAAGCCAAAGTTGTCTCTTGTTCCGCAACCCCACCCTGCCCCGGAGGATTTGGGAACTGGCAGCTCGCAGGACTTGGCCCAAGGACAGCCTTGCATAAGGGAGGAGAGCGCTTTCCTGGCCACGCGTTCCTGGCGCCTTGTCTTCGCTCCCTTTCAAACCTGGACCCAGACCATGCCCACCTCGCATGGAGCAGCATCCCCTCCCAAAAAGGTCTCCTTTCGCTGGGCTGCCGGGGAGGGTGGGATGCTGGATAGGGGCAGTGGGGCACCCCAACCTCTCGCTCTCTGCCCCCCACACCAAGGTACCCAGCCTGGGCAACACAACAGCTTCTCCCAAGTCATGGCCAGGATGGAGATGGGGGTGATGGAGGAGAAAGTCTTGGCCGCCCAGTCCCCCCTGGGAGTGGGGAGGGGAGACCTGTGCCAACAGGAGTGAGACTCTGTAGCCCTCACATCCCAGGGCTCCTGGCACCCAGCTCCATGTGAAATGGGACAAAACCCCAAAAAGACAATGTTATCAGCTCCTTCTCCTCGCCCTGGCACCTGGAGGAAGTAGATGGTGTCGGTGCTGGGGACGTTCTCCAGGTTTTGCTTGCACTGGGCCAGCTTGGCTCGTCTCTCCTCCTTCCAGCGGAGATCAGCCTCAGCCTCCCCCAGCATGGAGCGCTCCCCATCCTCGATGAAACCGGCCACCTCCTTCTGGAAGGTCGCCAGGACCTCAGAGGCTTCTGCAAAGAGCTTCTCGACTCTTTCCCTCTCCTTCGTGGCAGCGCCCTGAGTGCAGAGAGAGAGAGGGGTCGGGGTCACCTCCCGCAGGCGATGGTGTGGGAGACCACCCTTGTCCCCTGCCCAGCACCCAGTTCTCAGCTCTGCAGGGTCCCCCTGCCACCCTGTAACCCCCTTCACCCAAGAGCTCAGAGCATTTTACAACCCAGGTGTCAAGGGACCTGGCTGGACACAGCTGCTTACTGCTCCACCACATCTCGTGTCCCCAGACAGTGAAGTGACATGTTTGCACAAGGACCAAAGGGGACCAAAACCCCCGTGAGCCTGGGGAGAGAAGGTGCAAGAGCCAGCAGATGCCCCGGCATGGTCCTTGCCCTGTTCCTCCTTCCAGGTTGCAAACGAAAGCAACCAGAGATACCGTGAGGGTTAGCAGAGATGAGGAGCAAGAATCCTCAGGGATCCTTGCCAGGGCCACCATCATTTTACGGAGCGCTTGCTTCCCTGTGAGCACCACCTGTACATACCACACACCCCAAAAGCTCACAGCCCCTTCACCTCCACTCCCTGGCCCAGCAGAGCTGTACTAACGGAGCGAAGCCACTGCAGAGTCACCTTAATGAGCTCCACCATCTTCTTGGCCTGCGCGATGGTGACTGCCAGCTCCTCCAGCTCGTTCTCCACATCGCTGAGGAATTTGGCTTGTTGGGCCTGTGGACACGAAGGACAAACGCTGAGCTCTGCCCCTGCTCCTGGCGGCAGGGAGGCGCAGGGGACCCAGCCTCTCCCTAAGTTCAACCCACAGCCCCCTCGCTGACCATGACCTTGCTATCAGGCTTCAGGTGAAGGGTGCAAGGGGAAACGCGAGTTGTTTTCCTGTTTTCCTCCCCTGCAACATCCAACCTGCAAACATCCTTTCTCATTCGGATGGAAAACTAAAGGAGCAGACAGGCTGCAAAGGGTCGTGCCCATCTCCATGCTCCCCACCCCAGTCCCAGCGGAAACCAAACAAAATAGGAATTCGAAAGCAAAACCATCGGGCAGCAATTGCAGCAAGCGCAGCTAAGCTGTGTGCTCTTCATGTGCATCCCAAAGCTGGGAAAAATCTACCTGGGACTGGTGTGGAAGCTGAAAGGCAGACCCGGAGCACTCAGAAACGCAGCGCTGAGTCCCCTGGACATTTCTCGTTAGGAGCAAAGCAAACCAGCTCAGGAGCACGGGGTGCTGCGTGGCTGCAAAGGAAGCACCGTCCGAATGCGGCGTTTCCTGACGTGCTATTGTTAGCGCCAGCCATTGCCCATCACGAGGACGGGTCCCTCGGGAGCCAGGAGAGCATTGCACTCCCCAACTGGGGGAGCTCCCCACCTCGATGCTCAGCCCCAGCTCTCTGCGACACTCATGCCCGGTGAGGGGGGGGACAGACGCTTTCCCCATCCATCCTTCCCACCCCGCACCATGAGGGCAGGGGCAGAGAGCGGCCGCAGAGGCTGTGCAGGCGATGTTAAGCAGCGCCTGCTGAGGCCCGGCAGCTCCTCAGGGCTGGGATCACAGGCGCTTTCTATTTTAAGGTACCTGATGACTAATAATGCCGGCAAAAGGGTTTTCCTGCAGCTCCAAGAGCCTATGATGGAGTGGGAGCTGGCTTGGGGCTGCCGCTGTGCTCCTCGCCAGCGCATCTGCAGCCCCTGGGCTCTCCCCCGGAAAAAGCAAACTCCCGCAAGGTCCCCAAATACCCCATGCCAACACAGGGATGCCACCACGCCACGAGCCTCGCAGGCTCCCATCTGCCTGCAGCCCTGCAGAGGCCCCACACACTCAAGGCAGCAGTGCCCAGGAAGGCAGCACTGTGCCAGGCTCGGAGCTCCAGCTCCCGGAGAGGCTGGTGGGTGCGAATCTGGGAGGTGACTCAGCCGCATCTGGGAATGGGAGTGACGGAAAAACCCCCGCTGCCAAAACGCCAGGACACAAAGGGCTGGTGGAGCGGGAGCAGTGGCTGGGCAGGCTGCCAGCGCACAGAGAAAAACCGCCTTGACGAAGCTGTGGGAACAAGACGGAGAAGACGGCTGCCCCGTGACCGCGGGGGCAGCCACTGCAGGGTGTCCCAGGCGCCCTCGCCCCTAGCCCTACACCCACGGGGACCGCGAAGTTCGGCCCCACAGCGGGAGCAAACCCCACGGGCTAGCTGGTGGTGGGCCTGCCCCTAATGCCTGTACCAGGATGCCCGTCCTGTCCTCACCCTGCAGGGTGCCCTGATGGCACAGCACCCCGTCCCTCTGCGCCAGGGCGGGATCCCCCGTGGGGACAGGGCTGCAGCACCCACCCCCCACACGGAGTCCCACCAGTGCCACACCTGCACGCCCCCCACGCGGGGATTAGGCCCCCCGTGGGGACACGGGCGCAGCACGCACCCCTCCCACCCCACCCCAGACGCCCCGCCAGCACTGCACCCCATACAGACGCCCCCGTGGCAGCCTTAGGTCCTGCGTGGGGACACGGGTGGAGCACCCTCCCCACCCATCCCACCCCATCCCTCCCCACCCGGCACAGCCC